TCTGTCTAAGAAAGCTGGGGGCGCTGTGGACGGGGTATGGAGAAACCCTCTTCCCTCAGACTGGGGATGGGAGCAGGTCTGAGCCACACACACTAGTGCTGGCAAACCCGGCAGCTGCTGGCTGGCCCAGTCCCTGCTCAGCGGGTGCTTGAGCCCAGTTAGGCACTGACCCAGTTCTGTGGGACATCACCACCCACCCGTGCATGGCTGAGTCCATTCCAACACGGTGCACTGGGGCTTGCGCATCGTGATGGGGAGGGGGTGGCTGAGTCCCTGGAAGCACCAGTTCTGCACGAAGTGAAGTCTGCAAGCGATGGGGTGAATTGCTATTTGCCCTGCCTGTGTGTTCAAAGAGGACTCATGCAGGGCTCCTCACACTCGGTTGCTTTAGCAAACACATCAACAGCCCACCCCAACACCCCAAGCAAGCTTGCCAGACACCACCCAGGGCTGGTAGCTCACTGGGAATGGGAATGTCCACATTCCCTGGCTGTACCAGAGGTCTCTTTCTTATCCAGAGACTAAGAGCAGAGAGAAAAGGAGTTAAAGAGCCAGTTTACCTTCAAGGTGGCCCCCAGTGACCTCAGTCCGGTGGAACAGCACCCGGAATATCCTCATGAGCCGAAACACCTGCACAACCTTGCCCAGGTTGCCCAGCTCCGAGTCACTGCCCATGGTGATGTCCACCAAGAGGGTGAAGTAGAAGGGCAACACCGAGACAATGTCAATCAGGTTCAGCGGGTGCTTGAAGAACTTCCTGGGGTTGGGGGAGAGCAGGAGGCGGGAAGATACTTCGAAGGTGAACCAGGAGATGCAGAAATACTCCAGCTTGTGCAGGATGGGTTCATCGAGCACATTGCCATTCTCATCCACCTCCTGGTACTCAGGCATGCTGTGGATGCACATGGTGGCTATGGAAACCAGCACCACACTGATGGACACGAAGCTGAAGAGCTTGCTGGGGATGGAGTAGCCGGGGTTCTCCATGGTGAGCCAGAGGCGTTTGCGCACGTTGCCGCAGCGCAGCGTGCTGTAGCGCAGCAGGTCGTGGTTGATGTCAGAGATCTCATCGGGGGAGGTGTCCACGCTGCTGACCTCGCTCTCCTCATCCCAGTTGTGGTGCCGGCTCTCCAGCTTGCGCTCGTGGTAGCGGTAGCTGCAGCAGGAGTCCAGGAAGAACTCATTGATGCCCCAGTACTCAATCTCCTGGCAGAAGGAGAAGACACACAGCTCCTCCATGACATGCAGCTTCCCCGTCTGGTAGAAGTGGAGCACGTAGAGGAAGAAGCCGGGGTTTCGGTCGAAGTAGAACTCCCTGGCACTCACGTCGTAGTCATCGCAGAGCTGCAGGATGGACTCCTCCGAGTCACAGGAAAGCAGGCGTCCCAGGCGGGTGTCGGGGAACTTGGAGAGGGCGCTGGAGCTGAGCCGCCTTCTCAGACCCCCCACGTTGATGTTGATAACGTCCTCGTCAAAACTGGGATCCCAGTAATTTAAGGTCTTGTTGACCATGATCAGCAGAGCGGGAGCCGGTTCCACCTGTGGGTGAGACACAGCAGGGCTGGAGGGGACACAGGGCTCCCCCCAATCCAGGTGCTTCTCGGTGAGGGGGGGACCAGAAAGACCCTGGGGAGTGAGGATGGATGTTTTGCAGTTTGAAAAATGAGGACTAGGGAGAGGGGAGGGGAGAGAAACAGCTTCGAGAAATTGCTCTTTGGTGGTACAGAAGGGAAGGAAAAAGAAAATTAAAAAAGCTGATGATTTTTCCAGGTGAAACTTCTCCTCACCTTTTTTCTTCACCTCCAAAGTTTTTCCTTTTGCAGATCATTAATGGCCCAAGGAAGGCAGTTTACTGCACCTCCAGCACCTCAGCCATGGGGCTTTCCTTGTTCAAACAGGTAATTACTCACTGAAGAGAACATTTATCCCTCAAAGAACCTCCCCCAAGGAAAAAATAGATCTTGTCAAATCACTGCTGCAGTGATTCTGCCAGAGAGCTTTGTAGCCTGACTACCTACGTTGCTAATTAGACCTGGTCAAAAAGTCCTTAGATGGTGCAGTCTTCCCAGCAGCAAAGGCAGTTTTGCCAAAATCCAAGTGTTTTAACAGAAGGTGTCGATTTTAGGGAGAATTTCAGTGGAAGAACTGTCAAAATAATTAATCTGCCTGCTTTGTTTCCTTTTGTGTGTTCTGTCATGTAAAATACTAAGATTATTTTTATAATGTTGAAATATAACAAAAACATGATTCAGAATCATTGATGACTCTAAATTAAAAATCTGGATGTTGGTAGGAAAATAAAAAAATATGAAGTTTTTACTTGTATTGTGTTTCCGGATTTTAAGTTTCAAGGAGCTGGGCTTTTCCATTCAGCAGAAATTTAATTTACTAATGAGCAGCAGTGAAAACATCTAACAGAGAGAAGAGGTCCCACGCCATCAAACACATTTACGCCTCTTGACCAGAAGCTTAGAACAAAAAGGCAAATAGAAAGGTTTGTGATCTTCGTGCATCACCTTGAAATCAGACTTCTCCACCTACCTTATTCACCGCAATGCCTGGGGACGTCGGAGCAGCCCTGTACCCACGTGGTCCCCTGGCACGGTGGTGCTGGATGTCCTCAGGAGGGACATTGCATTTGCCCTTTCAGTTGAGGAATTACATATTTTTCCCCCGCCATGCATCAGCTACTTTGGAAAAATCCCACTCTTAGGCATTACTTTCTTTTGAGCTCTGCTCACACTTGAGGGTCGCTGCTGGCACCAACACGACTTCTGCAGCCACCGATGCTTTTGCTGCAGCGGTCCTCGAGGCATTTGTGACCTCCAGACTGGCCTCTCTGCCATCCCAAAGGCTTCCCTCCCTGCTGTGAATCAAACAATGGCTTATTAGAAAAATCCCTCACCTTCTCTGTCTTGTGTCGCCCACTGAAGTTTTCAAACTTTTAGGTGATGGAGGGGCTGCAGCCAGGTGGCAGAAGCCAAGGGAAGAGGCGGCAGCAGCCCCCAGGGTGATGCCAAGGTGCCACCAGACCCCGCGCAGGACAGTCCAGCCTGACAGAAGCCACCCAGGGCCAAGGCCAGGTCAGTGACACCAGGTGGGTCACCCCCCCACCCAGGGGAATCCCAGTTCCCCTGTGGACCCCATTGCACCCCAGCGCCACTTTGCTCACTGGACATCTCGTGGGTTTTATGGGGCAAACCCCAAAGCAGAGGAAGAGCACTGGATGTTTCCGATGTCTGAAAAATGCAGCCTAAAAAGGTTTGTCAGACTGGGAGGGACCTGGAGGACACTTCCAGATCTAAATCCAGAGGTCAGAGCAGAGCTGGAGAAGCACAGGTACAGAAGTATTGGCTAGAAATAAACCTGAGGTACATTTTCAAGCTGAGCAGGGCTGTGGGTGCAGCAAATGCCAGATTTGTGTGAAATAGCCTGGCAAAGGCATTTGCTAACTCCACTGCATCTCCGAGCCAGGGCTCCTTAAAGACACAGGCTTTGCACCATAAAGCCAGCACTTCCCATTACACCATGTCTGGAGCAGGCAACCAGCTCGTGATAAGCCTCAGAGCTTAATGGACTCATTGTCTTGCCTTTCAAAGGAGAGAGGGGAAAAAAGACAGATCAACTTCTTCAACATTTAAGACAAAAATAAGGGAGAAAAAGGCATGTAAATGTTCCTTTTCAGGGATAAATCAGAATAGCTGTGACAGATTAGCTTTTCCAGGGAAGACATCTCAGAGCCCATCTGTGGGGTGGAGATGACTAATCCAGGTTCCTTCCAGAAGGATGCTCCTGCGTTCAGGCTACAAACACACAAAACGGGACTGTGTGTCGGGGTCTGTGGGATCCAGCTCACCCCATGCCCATTCTCAGCCTCTCTCTGCTCCGGGAGGCCAGGCCAAATGTCATCAAAATCAGAAGCAAGGTGATTTTTGGGGCGGGGTTGGGGCACGCGGCCAGGAGGGAGCTGGCTCCCATCTCTCTCCCAGTTAAAAAAAAAAAAAAAAGGGAGGGTGTCAGGACCCTGCAAGCTTTTGTACCCCAGAGAAATCTCTCCCTCAGGAAGGAACTAGGAGAAGGAGAAGGGTCACGAACTGTCTGAGGTTCTCCTTTCTGCCATTCACTTCTGAATAGAGCAAATTATTTCTGCCCACACACAGCTTTCATCTAGGAATCTAAAGCAGCAATTAATAGTTTTATAACTCTTTTGCCTACTCGTTTCAAGACTAGCGAAGCTCAGCTTTATGAGAAAACTGATGTTTGAACTAAGACCTGGCACAACCAACCATCAAAGCATGTGCCCGTCTGGCATTTGCAGGGGTATCTGCTGGGAAACAGAAGCTTACTTTAGGAACGTTGGGTATTTCTTTTACTTTAAAGCACAATGGACCGAGAATACAAACGTGTCTGTCTGCAATAATGTGAAATTGCAAAATTTTCCTGTAGATAAGATGAAATTTCCATGAATGATGGAAAAATAGAACAGATAAGGCCAGTTTCTTTCCAATAAATTCTGAAATATATTGTAGGCTATTTTAAGGAGACAGCCATCAGCATTACACAAGCCCAGTGTGAGCTGAGTGTTGGGAATTCAAATTATCTATATCTTGTGGAGAAACAAATCTCTGATATATGCATTTACAACAGTAAAAAATATAAAAAATGATCAAGCATATCTGTAAGGAATGCTAGAAGAGTTTCCCTTGACAACGTATTCTTTTCTTAAAGGCTTTCAAATGGAAGTTATGTGTATTTATTCTAACTAGCAGAGCAAACCCAAGGGAGTGGGAAGGAAGATGCTAATAGACATTCAAGTGAGGATGCAGCAAGTCAGGGAGTACTGCACACGGGGGTTTTTCCAACCAGGTACAATGAATTTAGATTAACAGTTCAAATAAAAAGCCCTGTACTTACAGCTCAGCAAGGCTTCCCAGCGGGGAGTCGTGTGGCTTGTCTCAAAGGAGCCATTAGAAGGAGGAAACGAGGAAACCCTTATCCTCTGCCTGTAGCCCGGCCCTAGACACTCTGTCAACCCGGGCTCGCAGCTCTGCGTG